TCTTCCTCTCTTCCTCTCTTCCTCTCTTCCTCTCTTCCTCTCTTCCTCTCTTCCTCTCTTCCTCTCTTCCTCTCTTCCTCTCTTCCTCTCTTCCTCTCTTCCTCTCTCCCTCTCTCCCTCTCTCCCTCTCTCCCTCTCTCTCTCTCTCTCTCTCTCTCTCTCTCTCTCACCCGTCTCGTGCAGGTCCCCCTCCTCGGCTGGGGCGTAGGAGTCGATCAGCGCGTGTCCTGTGTCGAGCAGTCGATCGGCCACGCACACCGCCAGATCCACAGCCTTGCGCCCGCCCTTGGTGTCGGCCACGCAGTCGACCTGGAATGCGGAGGTTCTGAACGATCTCGGTGGTAAATGGTTGTGAATTCCCCACAAAGTTGTATTTGTTTACTGTGCATCTGCAAGAAATCATCACTTATCTGTATGAATGAATATACCGTGTGGACAGAATTTAAAGTGTACGGGGCCGGAAAATGAAATCCTAAACCACTGGGGACTGGTGTTGGTAGGCTGTAGAGTAAAAGTTAGAAGAAATGCATTTTAAGCCTTTTAATGAGCAAATATTTCTGGATTTAACACCACATATACATTTTAACACTCCAGAAAACTTTAATTTGAAAAATAATCGTACATCTTTAAGGCGGTTAGAATGCTTCCGAGGCAAAATGTTGCAAAAAGTCAAGTTCTTGCATTCCTCACAACCATGACAATTAATGCAGCATGTTTGTGGAGAACTATATTCACCCAATTAATTACCACCCCTGTAACATTCACCCCAAAATCACAAAAAAACGGCAATATCCTTGTTCCAACAACCTAACAACTCAAACAACCAACTTAGAGTTTTTTTTTCCTTCTTTAGACACTGCGAGGCAACACCATCACACTAACAAGTCAAAGTGCAATCCAGAATCAACACCAGCTTCAAATCCACGCATAGACTCACGGTGTGGGTGGCCCGGGTGGTGAGGGCGGCAGTGAGGGTGGGCGGCGGGGCGGCGGGTTCCCCTGCGAGAGCGCCCAGCAGCAGGTGGCGCGTTGTGGTGACAATCTGGGGGCGTGGATTATGAGTCGTTAGTTTGGAAATGATGATGATTAGGGTTGCCGATGATGACGACGATAATAATAATAATGATACTGATAATAAATAATAACAATAACAGTGACAATATCAATAGCAATAATGACAATATCAATAACAATATTCCCAATAACAAAACAAGTCCAAAAACAACAATAATTATAAAAGTTGCTAGAAGTTGAAACTAATTCAGAGCTGCATCATTGTACACAGGCTGGAGAGATATTTCAAAAATAGTTACAGAAAGCCGTTCAGCAGTGTCAATGGCGGGGCAGCATCAGTAACACTGCGTTCCCATGTAGAAAAGGAATGAATGAAAATGAGTTATCTTCACAATACAAGAGATGTATTTGGCCGGTTTCGAATGCATCTTTGTCTGAAATACAATACTGTGACGATATTCATTCTCATTTATATCCTTTAATTAAGACTGAGATTGAGAAAAAGGAAGAAAGAGAGAGAGATTTGGAAAAAAGGAAGAAAGAGAGATTTGGAAAAAAGGAAGAAAGAGAGAGATTTGGAAAAGAGGAAGAAAGAGAGAGATTGAGAGAAAGGAAAAAAAGAGAGAGATTGAGAGAAAGGAAGAAAGAGAGAGAGATATTGAGAGAAAGGAAGAAAGAGAGAGAGAGATTGAGAAAAAGAAAGAGAGAGAGATATTGAGAGAAAGGAAGAAAGATTGAGAGAAAGGAAGAAAGAGAAAGATTGAGAGAAAGGAAAAAAAAAGAGAGAGAGAGAGAGAGAGAGAGAGAGAGAGATTGAGAAAAAGGAAGAAAGAGAGATATTGAGAGAAAGGAAGAAAGAGATAGGTGTACCTTCGTCAGAAATACACCATTGTGAAGGTATTAATTCTCATTCATATCCTTTCTACATTTGTCATCATGAATATGGTTCCCTGTACTGCATGGCGTGTCAGGAACATGTTTGCCACGATTCCTAAAGTTGATATCTTGGGAATCGTGTAAGTCAAACGGATTTTTTTTTCTGTCTATTCACTGTCTGCTGTATTTTTCTTCTCGACTTTATTATACTTCCCTGATTCCCTTCCTCTTCGTTTTCTCTTAATTCCCCCCCCTTCTTTCGTTCTTACTTCATCCCTTTCTTTGATATGTCTGCAGATTCCCCATTCCTTTCTCTTATATATGGTTTCTATCCTTCGTTTTTTTTTGTTTTTTTTTTTTGTCCATTTTCATTACCCCCCTCTCATCATCATTTTTTTCCTTTCTCTGATCTTCCATTTCTATCATTATACCTTATACCTTTCGCCCATGACACCCCTCTCTCTCTCTCCCTTCCTAATTTTTCTCATCATTCCGTTTTCCTCTCTCTCTTTTCTTTCCCTTCCCTCTTCCCTCCTCCCCTTCCAACCTCAATTATTTTCCCTTGCCCCTTCCAACATCCCCTCTTCCCTTCCCACCTTTTTACCTTCCTTTCCTCCCTTCCCCCACCTTTCAACCCCCTCCTTTTCCCTCCTCCCCCTTC